TATCCCTGCGCATTTGGAACTTCATACCGCTTACATGGATTACCGCACCATGCGCCTGTCATTCTCCTTTTGCAGAATACATTTTGGCCTAAGTTGATGAAAAAAAAAAAACTTATTTGCAAAATTGTATAACCATCTATTTGCTTGAAAAAAATATATAAAAATTTCAGTTGGGTACATGCTGCATGACCACGTAATTGGCATTCAAAGTGCGACTAGTGCTGAAAGCTGAAAATAGCCCTACACTGGATGGGGTGAAAGTGTCTGGACTTGAAGTGGTTAAACAAATCCAAATGTGTCATTCTGTCCTTATGGATTCTGGGTTGATCAATTCATCTTTATACATACGTACCATCCACTCATTAGCACTATGCCCCTTAACAACAGTATTATTATTATTAAACTCCTCTGGTCTTGAGAGTGATGTGAATGGTTCATTGTTCTCTATATAGAAATGCAACCCATATACAGTGAAGGAAATAAGTATTTGATCCCCTGCTGATTTTGAATGTTTGCCCACTCACAAAGAAATGATCAGTCTAAAAATCGAATGGTAGATGTATTGTAACACAGACAGAAATATATATATATATCATACACCCAGGCTCTTAACTGTAGCAGATAAATTACAAAACGTTTATATATTCATACATTATAATACTCTTAGATTGTAAGCTCCAAGGAGCAGGGCCCTCCTAATCCTCTTGTATTGAACTGCATCGTTACTGTATTGTCTCCCTTCATAATGTAAAGTACTGAGCAAACTGTTGGCGCTATATACGTAAATCCTGTATTATAATAATAATATTACACGAGCCAATATACCTGGGACATTAACCACTTGCCTTCCAGAGGATTTACCTCCCTTCCTGACCAAGCCATTTTTTGTGTTACGGCGTTGCATTACTTAACTGACAAGTGTGCAGTCATGCAATGCTGCACCCAAATTACATTTACATATTTTTTCCCCCATGAATAGAACTTTCTTTAGGTGGTATTTGATCGCCTGTGCGTTTTTTATTTTTTGCACTATATACAAAAAAAGACCAACAATTTTGAGTAAAAAAAAAATATTTTTTACGTGTTGCTATTAAACATATCTAGTAAAAAAAAAAATGTAATCATCAAATTTCGTCATAAATTTAGGCCAAAATGTATTCTGCTACATGTCTTTGCTAAACAAGTATCACAATACGTGTAAATGAATTGATTTATGTGAAAGTTATAGCGTTTACAAATGGCAATATAGATTCTGGAATTTTTTTTCTACTAGTAATGGCGGCAATCAGCAACTTATTGCAGGACTGCAGCGGGCATTTGGATACTGGGGGGGGGGGGGGGGGGGAATGACTTGGTGTCAATGACATCCCTAGTGACACCAATAGAGTGATCAGTGCTAAATATAAAGCACTAACACTGTACTAATGGCACTGGGCAGAAAGGGGTTATCATCTGGGGCAATCAAAAGGGGTTAACTGTGTACTGTGTGAGTGCTTTCCACTGTAAGCACACTGCTTTGTATGGCTCTGCTATGCAGAGCCATACAAAGCAGCATGCTGGCGCTGACAGGGGAGAGAACTGTATTGTTCACATACAGTTCTCTCCCTCCGTCTGTAATACTCAGCGATCATCGGGTGCCAGCGAGTAATCACCTTCCGGGACCCAGTGATTGACAGCCGAGGCCGCGAATAGCAGCACGCGCCCCCTACCCAGAAGTGCAAAATCACGTATATATAGTAGTATTTCTGCTATAGGATGGCAGGAAAGCAGTTAAGAGGGTGCAGATCACTGTAATTTACTAGCCTGCTCTATAAACATACAACTGTTATTGATGGTTGGTACTGGTATGGGAACAAATGTTAGCAGATCCCCTACAAAGATATGTCACAATTCAGACATCAGTCAGAGCAGGATCTACAGTCAGTGACAGCTGCTGGCATTATATAGCTTCCCGTTTACGGTTTAGACCTGCAACAGGATCCGGCACAAGAAACTCTTCCAGTTTCAACTTCCTTTTTGGCTCAAAGATGTCTTTGACTGAATGTCAAGAAATGCAAGGCAGCTAGAGCTGGAAGTGATAGTTGGTTGTGCTTACCACTCAGGCCAAAGATTCCTAGACCTCCCCTGCTATTCCAAATCCACTCCAAAGCATGAGCTTTGTTTGTCAGTTTGTTGAATGGTGCTCAGACTAGATGTTCCATAACTGTTCTCTATGGCATACCTGATGTTGTATGAAGTATGTACTGCACACATTAACAAAGAATGGGCCCGGTGCTGTATTATGTATGTACTCATATAACAAGGAATGGAAATTCACCAAAATGCAATAACTCAGACAGAGCCATGTCCTGTGTCAGGGAAACCTATTAAGCATTCCAAAAAAAAAGTGTTTTTTCATTATCAACTTTATTTTTTTCTGACGTACCATACCTCTATAACATTGCCCTGAAACATCCACAAACCAGTTACGTTAATACGGCCTTAATAGCCGTTTACAAAGTCGTCCATAGAAAGCCAGGTACATAATTCTCAATATAAGAAACCCACTTAAGAACAAACATATTACAAGAACAATAAATATGTACTAGATATTATTACATCAAATTAATAAAAAGATTTGTTTTAATTATGTTTTGAACCTTTTATTTGGATAGAATATGTATATTTACATTCATCCATTCTTACATCCACTATACATTTCATATGCAACAGTCAGTTCATATACATATTCAAGATTTTCTTGTCTAATTATTAACTTACTCTATTAACAAATTTTGTACAGTAATAGCATAAGGTGACAAGTACACCATTGGTTTGATATGAGGAAAGATGAATTTGAGAGAAAAAAGCAAAAAAGACAAAAACCAAAATGATCATTTTAAAGAATTCTTGGTTTATAAAACCCAGTTCCCGTTTAAAAATGATAATCATCTTTCTTGAATAAAATTTTTGCATGACATTGCAAATTGGTTGTGAGAGTATCAGAGGCACAAACGGATTTGTACTTGAGGTTTTAGACTGACTTGATTGCCAATCTTTTCTGCCCTGTAATTCCCATTGGCGTTTGGAATGCAGAATTGAAGGGGCTTCAAATCTTTTTAAAGTGCTGCTTAGTTTGAAACGGATGATGTCCCTGGTTCATATATATGATTTGCAAGGGTGGGCTGTGGTCTGAAAGCAGTAGCCTGCTGCAGCAGACGAGGCAGGGTCATACATGTTCCATTCTGAATCACGCAAATCACAAATAGCAGATTGCCTGTGTTTATACTGTCTTCTCAGTTACCAAACTGAAAAGAATCAGCAGCTGAGGTTATTTAAATAAACGTAGTATCACTGTTTTACAGTTTGAGAAAAGCAAAGGCATCTGTCAGGCATAGTCATTTTAATGTTTTTTCTTTTTTTCATATGCATGCAAAATGTTTTTTTTTTTAATATAAATATAATCAATGCATGTTTGCTTCCAAGTATCATTTGTAATGATATACAAGCTATACTTGTTCATCACAGGTTCCTGCTTTGCTACACAACGGTTGTGCTTTACTGCTCCTTCTCACAATGCAAGCATGAGAGTCTGCCTACCAGCAGAAATCAATGCTCTTCCTATGTGGCTCATACAGTATCTTATCTCAACAGTTGTTAAGCTGTCTGGCTGAGTAATCGCAGTGAGATATAGGTTTCACTCTACAGGCAAATCTCTATATATGCAAAAAAAAAAAAAAAAAAGAAAATACATTATGCAAGTGCAGCAATTTCCTCTACTAATTGCAGAGTGGTTAAAGTAGACCTGTCATACTCCTAGGTAGTTCAAGCACTGCATAATATGAAAAAATGCACCATGATAATACTTTTAGTGAACACCACAATTTACTGATTAATAAGGAAGCTCAGGAGGTGAAGGGAGGCAGAGTAAAATTTTCTACATCCGATTACTGTTTTTACTGACGATACCTTTGTTTTATGTAACATAAGGGAAAGCCTGAACTGCAAAGAAGTTTTAGTCACGAGTGAAAGTGTTTGCTTTCAGAGCCAACATGAGTAAAACTTGCCATACATAACCATACATACAAGTGCTGCCATAAGGAGCCATCTCTGGCACAGTTGACAGATCTGCATGAAAAACATAATGCAAGTGACATCTCTAGTCAAGTGCAGAGAGATTAAAGATGATTCCAGATTACGTTTTCTTAGCCTCTGTCATACGTTGCATTCAGCTCCTTCTACCAATGCAAATGTTGGATCTATAGATGTCTTAAAGATACATCTAACTCGCTGGCAGCAGAAGCTGAATAATGTAACAACAACTGCACAGCAGATTTTTTTTAATTGATAGAATTAGAATATGAAAGTTGGTGCTACTCTGAAATCACAACCACCTCACCCCTTCCCACCCTCCTTGGGAAAACATACAACAAATAAAAAATATAAATACTTTAGTTTTCTTTCAACACTGTACTGTTACAACCTTGTTTAAAAATTGTAGAATTATTTCATATCCCACTCCCGTGAATACTGATAGTGTTATGGCAAACATGTTAACTATCCTGTATTTCTTCATTGTTCATTTTTAATGGTTTTGTCCATATTTATCAAAAGCATTTGCAGCAGTGGTGATCCCCAATACCAATATTTGATCTATTTAGTCATCACTCTTGATGTTAGCAAGGAGAAAAAAAAAAGGAAAATGAAAGCCTGATACTTAAATTACATCCAGTGTCACATGTTAAAGGCATTTTAAATGTAATTATGTAAATCTAATAGTGCAAATATGAAACAGAGCATTATCATACATGTACTAACTTATAGTGAATCTTAAAATAAAGGCTGACATTGCATGAGATTTCAAACGCAGGTCACTGTGCAAGCCCTTAAATGGTATAATGATGCAAATGCGGATTTGATTCTTTAAAAAGTTCAGTCCCAGTTCAGCCAATAAAAGGAAATGCTGGTGAGGTTGGTAAATACCAATACAAGAGAAGACCAATAGCTAAAGACTTGTGACGTTAGAAGGTCTCATCATCATTGCAGGTGCTTGTCCAGTGGCCAAACACCTCACAGATTTCACAGTATGGCCTCTCTTCTTTTCTGTTTCCATGGAAGTTAGAATGAGGAGGAGAGTCAGGTAACTGAGTCTGTGTCGGGCAGTCTTCTGTATCATGCAGGTCAAAACAATCACAAATATCGCAGAAAAGGCGAGGGGGCACTTTTTTCTTGGCTTGTGTGCCATTTAAGCTGAAAAGAAAAAAAAAAAAAAAAAAAAATCACACATTAAACTCAGCAACCACAAGCTATTAATCTCAGTCCAAAGTACTGAAAAAACTATAAAAGTTCCATAACATCACATAAAATTTTATCCTGTCGAATGATCCTATAGATCAGGGGTGTCAAACTGGCGGCCCCCTACAAGTCCCATCATGCCTCTGCCGCTTGGAAGTCATGCTTGTAACTGTCAATCTTGCAATGCTTCAAGGGACTTGTAGTTTGGCAACAGCTGGAGGGCAGCCAACTTGACACCCGTGTTATAGATTATTACCACAGGTCACCGTCACACTTCCTTCATCCTAAAATGGCAGTTAACATAGAAAAACTGCATACAGAGAAACATTACAGAAAATGTTAAGTACTCTTATTTTCTGGATGGCCAGGTTACTTTGCAACCCCAAATGTTATCAGCAGTTCTGCCACAAAGTAATCTGAAGTTACATTAAGGACCCATGTACACGGGACACTTCTGAACGATGGAAACTGACTGTTGGAAAACGTAGGTTAAAAAACGTCTGTTTAGCTGCGTTTGCATAACGCGTTTATGTGCAGTTGCGTTTCGAAGCATTTTTTTAAAGCTAAGCACAGGAGAACCTCACAAATGTCCAGAATGCACTGAAAAGTGGTAAATTATTAACTATTTCAGACTGTTTCAGAGAAATACAGAGAGTAGAAGCAGAGACAGCAGTATGTGTTGAGATTATCCTAGGTGTGAGTTGCTAATTTTTTTTCGTGTTTCCAAGGGTGGGAAAGGTGTCTGGTGGAGTTAGTCATTAAGGTCACCTGGCAGGGGGTCTTCATGAGGAATTTGAGGTGTGAATGGTCATTAACATATCTTTTGTTTCCAAGGGTGGGAGAGGTCTGAGGTGTGAATTGGTCATTACAATGTGTGACAAGCTTGGTAGAAACATCCTGTGTTCAGTGTTTTCTCCATCTGAGTACCTTGAAAACGCTCTGCATGCATTTTTTTTATGATGAAAAAAGGAGCTGAACAGCATCGGGAACTGGAAGAGTTAAAAAAACTATTTTCAAACACAAGCGATTATAAAAACGCGATTTGCTGCGTTTAGCCGCATTTAGCGTTTGAAACACTGATAAAATCAACTGCTGAACGCAAGTTTTCTGCATTAAAAAAAACGACTGTAAACTCAAATGCCTGTAAACAACTGTAAATGAAGATGTGTACATGGACACATAGGAAAACATTAGGGTGAGTTCAGGGGCTGCTGAAAAAAACACCGAACAGCTCCTAAACGTGAGTTTATCAGCTGCAGTGTACATGAGCCTTTATGTGTATGTGCATTCAGAATGTTTTGCTAGAGACAAAGATGGATGAAGTTGGGCAAAGTTTACAAATGACATGCTATTAAGTTCTTTTATTGTAAATTCCACTGCAGTAGTCTTGCCTTGCAGAGTAATAAACATATGTCTCTGTACTGGGCCCTCGGTAACCTGCAATGTGCCACCATCTATGATATGGCTAGGGTGATTCCAGCAGCCATTTTGTCTAGGCAAACAGAGCCTCCTGTGTGGTAAATAGATTGGCCAAAGCAACTTGCAACATTTGAAAAGAGGTAGAGCCAGGAACACACAGTAAAATTAGCACTTATTTGGGGATGTGGGGCAGTAAGTATGGTGACAAAGTTCTAGAAAAGGTAATTAAAGCAAACATTATAGATTATAACTGTCAACCGAATTCACATTAATACATTTCCATAAAATAATTTCCAATACCTGTCATGGTTGTCCAAATCTTCTACATTGTTCCCATTTAGTGATGCTTCAACCATCTGATCAATCTTCAGTTTCAAATCATCATTTTTTCTTTGAAGGTCAACAATTACAGAATTCAGAAAATCAACCTGCAGGTAAACAAAAAAAATTTTTTTATTATTGACAATATACTGGTTCTATTAAGAGAGTCATTTTCTTAGTAGTTGATCATATTACTTTAACCACTGATGTGTGTTTTTGTTGTGTGGATCTCTCCTAAAATGTGGTAAAACACTTTTTGTTTTGTATGTGTATAACTTATGCAGTCTTGAAGGCCGCTAATGAAGACACACACACCATCTTAATGTAAACCCTTTCAAGACATGGTGGGGAAGCTACTAAATTAACAATATGTTGTTATATTAACCACTTCAAGTCTGGACACTTTCACCCCCTTCCTGTCCAGGCCAATTTCCAGCTTTCAGTGCTATCACACTTTGAATTACAATTGCGCGGTCATGCAACACTGTACTCATATTCATTTTTTAGCATTTATTTGAGACTGATACAACTTTAGTTTGGTGGTGTTCATTCACCACTGGGATTTTTATTTTTTTGCTATATAAATGAAAAAGTCCAAACATTTTGAAAAAAAAGTGTTTTTCTTATACAATTTTGCAAATAAATAATCTTTTCTTCATAAATCTTGGCTAAAATGTATTCAGCTATCTTTTTAGTAACAAAAAAAATAACCCAAATTAGTTTATAACCAAAAATTATAATTTTTCCAAATTTCTTTTACATTTTTTTTATATTATTTGTTTTTTTTTTACTCCCTGGGCGCATGCCAGTCAGTGGAAGCAAGAGGACGTTTATAACATACTGTCACCCTAGCAATACAGTGTCACCATAGTGACATTTTACTACTTGTGGGGGGTGATGAAGATTTTTTTTTTTACAGATTGCTTTTACACCCATAAAGGCTGTAAAAGCAATCATTTTTCTCCCTCTCTCTGGCTAGATTCTTGCAGCCGTTGAGAAATACTGTGCAAGCTGTGATTGGTCACAGCTTGTCACATGGTACAAAGCTGTTGTGAATAGCCTTGTACCATGTGACCTCTGTGATCATTCTCAACTTTCACTAGTAGTAAGCAATGATGCCAGAAGTGACATCTTGCTTACTACTATTCATGTGATCACTGATTGGTCCGTACAGCGATTGGTGTTCCGCTGTGTCCGGCACCGGATCGCGGTGCTGCACACTCCCAGGGCGCACGCACAGGCAGGGAAGCAGAGAGGACGTTTATAAACGGCCACCCGCTCCTGCACTGTTCTCATCCAGCCATTTATGTACATGGGCCGGACGGGAAGTGGTTAACCCATCAAATCTTCAGGAAGCTGTAGATAAACATTCAATGAAGATAGAAGTGTTCTGAGTATATTGATGGATATATGAGTTGTCAGTACATACTTCTCATATTTATCAAACTGTTTAACTATAACCTCCTTCTCTGAGGATTTTTTTTTTTACCTGGCTTTCCATGGATGTCTTATCCTCCTGGTACTGGCTGCTGAATGAGGCATCGCCTAAGTTCAAGAAAATTGTAAAAATTCTTCAGTGAAAATATGGAATATACAATATAAAGTGAATTAAAAAAACCTGGCTACCAAGATAATCATCTCACAGCATCATGAGCTCAGCTCACTTTCGTCACTCATTAAACATAGCTCCAGAAAACCGCCCAAAAAATTAAGTGAACGTAAATACCAACAATGAACTTCTCTTACTTGCTCCCTTTTGGTCTGTTAAATATACCATTTAAAGTAGAACTATAGCCAAAACGTTTTTCCGTTTTGGATAGAGTAAGGGAGGGTTGTCCCATAGCCAAACAGGAAGGGAGAAATAATCGCCACAAATTAAGGGAGTCCCTTGGAGACCCCCAGGTCACCAGAACTAGTGTCCCCATTGGAAGATTTCCCCTCTATTACTTTTCTGGGGACAACCCAAAATTTGGAGTTTTCTTTACTGCCACTTGCGATGATAATGGTAAACAGGACAAACAGAGAGGGTGAATCTCCCTAACGGGGCACAGACAGAAATAAAAACCTGACAGATGTTATAATACATCTCCACTCCATCCAAAACTAAAAAAAAAAAAAAAAGTTTTGTCTTTAGTTATACTTTAACATTTTTTGTTAGGTCTGTTTGAGGAGTGCAAAAAAATACCTGTTGATCTTGCCAGAAATCTTGTCAACTGTGGTTTCTTGTGATATCTGCTGACTGCCAGCACTGTTCATAATGTTGTGTGTGGATTACAGAACACCCCCCCCCCCCACCCATGTTATGACGATAAAATGGGGGAGGGGTGGGGGGTTGAGGTGTTCTGTCCTTTAAACATACTTCTTGTCCTAGGATGACAATGCAATTTCTATATAGATACAGTGTGGTAAGATAGTGTTTCCCCCATAGGCCAGGAAGTGTATTACTGCAAGAGGAGAGGAAGAGGCGATCTGTAGCCCAAGCATAATTCCCCTCCAGGAGTGACAATTGTTTCTAGTCTCGCTAAACACCGTTCTAGTGCAGGCAGAGTTTTGCTAGTACCCTTTAAACCAGGGGTAGGTAACATTTGAAAGGTGGAGATCTACCTGAACATGAAAGAGATCAAAGATCGCCAGAGTTTGCCGCCACCCCCCCCCCCCTTTTTTTTTTAAAGCAATTAACTAGCAAGGCCTAACTAAATAGTAAGGAAAACTTTAAAAAAAAGTCATTAGGGCAGTGGTCGATGTGTGGACAGTGTCAGTAGAGTAGTGGACGGTGTCAGTAGGGCAGTGAACGAAATGAGCAGTTTTTTTTTCTTTTTTTCAATTATTATTTTTTACTAATTCTTAAATTAATTTTTTTAAAATTTTTAGAAGATCCAATGGGGGGGGGGGGGGGGCTTCGGTAAAATACCAGGGGTAACAGATCCCTGATGTCTCATGTTTGAGACAGAGAAAAGGACAGAGGATAGTGAATGGATGGAAAGTACAATGAGGCTTCCTGCTCATTCACAATCTGAAGCATAGTAAACACAGTTTACTATACTTCAGTTGTAAATGAAGACAGTCAGTGATCGGTACTGATCACTGACTATATCCATTCAGAAAAAGACGGGGCCGGTAAATTACATATTTACCAGCTCCTTCCCCTGCTCTCAATCCTGGCACGTACCCTGCAGCACCCGGGGGAAGAGGATTTCATCTTCATTCTACCAATTTGCATTGCATAATTGGCAGATCAGAGAAATGAACTCAATATTTACCAACTCTGTCTAAAACGTCTACCCACCCACAGTAACTTTGTGAAGCTCTCATTTATAGTCTAGCCTGCTAAAGTGTCAAGCCAGGTGAACTGGATACATACATTCTATCATCAGCGGGGGAACAAAAATAGAGCGCACGTCTTGCCAATGATAGCTGGCTTGAAATAAACTCAGGTTAATTCACACTTCTGGAAATCGGGACCCTAAACCTCACTTGTACAGTAAATAAGTACCTGAAGAGTTTGATAAATTATTGAGCTGCGTCTTGTTCTCGATGAGTTCCTTCTCCAGGTTCTGCACCTTTATTTCCAGCTTGGCTTTTTCAGACTCCAGTGACTTCAATGCTGACTGCAAGCTTCTTGCAGACTCATTCTCTCCCCGCAATACTGTAACCTAGGCAGAAACAGAGAAGTGAGCTAGTGCCAGGACTAACACGAAATGCTGTTGAGTGTATGAAATGCATATAAAAGGGAAGTATTATGGCAAATGCACAATACTATATGCAGCAGAAGAATTATTTTTTTTTACATTAATAATACTATACACAATAATCTCAATTTCTAGCATTCTAGAGAATATATTTTATTTATTTATTACAGGTACTCATATAGCACTGTCAATTTACGCAGCACTTTACAATATATATTGTACATCAGTTCCTGCCCCCAAGGAGCTTACAATCTAAGGTCTCTAATTCACATTCATACATACACATACTAGGGCCAATTTAGACAGGAGCCAATTAACCTACCAGCTTGTCTTTGGAGTGTGGAAGGAAATTGGAGTACCTAGAGGAAACCCGCACAGGGAGAACATGCAAACTCCAGGCAGGTAGTGCCATGGTAGGGATTAGAACTGACAACCCTAGTACTGCCAGGCAGAAGTGCTAACCACTTAGCCACTGTGCTGCCCATATATTATTCTGTATTTAGTATATCTAAACAGATCATTAAAAATGTGAAGTTAAACTTGGTCTATACCTTAAGTCCAGAGTTAGATAGCTGGTAGCCAATGCTCATTAAAATTACAGCTCACTCCTAACTTTTGAGGTTTTCTCTAATTGTTGGCAATAGCCTTGACACCTGAATTCCATGATAATTGGTCCACCCTGTCTTAGGCTAGGATCACATATGTGCGGGTGGTGCAGCTGTGGATCTGCACAAAAATCCGTGCAGCTGCACCACCTGCACAGAGGAATGCGGACCCACAGCGGGTGCCATTCATTCTAATGGAACGCCACCCGCACTGGAAATCGCAACCGTACTGGGAACCGAGGTTCCCGCGCGGGCTGCGTTTTCAAAAGAAGTGCAGGGACTTCTTCCCTGCATGTCCCGGGACATGGGAGTCCATTCCATACTAGTAGTACTGCCTGGACGTTAAAGAAGGGGACATACCCCGAAAGCTTGTCCTCAAATATATATGTTAGTGCAAATACAAAAAAGTATCACATCAGTACTCAATTGTTTATGTCGCAAGTGCACTAATACGGCTACAATCAAATCTAGTTTTTTTTTGTGCCAATGCAGAACGCTTGCAGAAAAACTCACATCTCTGCACATGGTGTGAACGAGCCCTAATAAACATTTTACAATTATAACCACTTACCAACCGCAATACGTATATAAGTTGCGGCCTTTAAGCGGTTTACCGGAGTTATGGCTGAAGCCATCAGCCATAACCCTGGTATTTTTTTTTCAGCTGGCGATTGTCTCTCATGAAAGCACTGTGAGCAATTAATTAGCCAATGGATCGCTTTCAGAAGCAGCGGGAGGGGTCCTTTTTAATAATTTTATAGAAAAAAAAAAAATACAGATTTTTACTTGTAAACAAAAAGTGCAGAAAAGGCTTTGTCTTCAAACATAAAAAAATGGAAATTACCACCTCTCTATTCTTCATGTCCTCAGTTTTCAGATCATTTATTTTTGGGGCCTTTAGAGCAGTGGTGTTTTTAGGTTTCGTGCTGCCCTAGGCAACACAAAATTTGCCCCCCATGGAGAGACCCTCACACCAACCAACTCCTCCCTTCGCCATGAAGAGAGCCTGACATTGACTAACACCCCAGGCCCCACCCGAGCCTTCCACTACCACAGCCCCCCTATACACTGACAACCCCCCCAACTTGGCAAGAGACAAGACACTCACCTTCACAGCTCTGGACTTCCCCAGGAACAAGAGTCAGGCTCTGCATACACCATCAAGCAGCCCGCAGCCTCTCTCATATCCCACCTGGTCCCCATGCTGCGTGTCCCTTCTTTCAGCCCTTGTTTTGGAGGGCAGCTCTGCCCCCCTGAAAAATGGTGCTGCCCCCCTGAAAAATACAGCCCTAGGCAAATGCCTTGTTTGCCTTGTGGTAAATACACCCCTGCTTTATATAGTTTTTCAAGGCAATAATATGCAGTTTAGCAATAAGTCCAGCAGCAAAGAGGTTAAACTCAGTTTAATTCCAGCAATAGACTGGCAATAATTCCAGCAAGCAGTTTTCCTACAAGGGAATGTATGTACATACAAACCAAAGTCAGCTAACATCAAGATACTTCATCATTTTCTTATTAATATAGTTACTTAATTTTACATCCATGTTATATAAATCTGAATTTACAGCAGAACCAAAAGAGCCAGCAAAAAGTTAAATTCAGGCACACATCATCTACATGATCTAAACCTGTCATCCACACACCATACCATGTAAACTAACCTTTACATCCATAGTCCTCGTTACTCTTTGGAATTCTCAAAACGGTGTCTTATGGTTTAGCTTGTGTACTGATGAAACAATCAAACCACCACTAAATAGATAATGCATTTTGTTCTGCTTCAAAAGGCTATGAATAACTGTTTCAGATTGATTCAAGGAAGAAAAAAGCTATTGTGCCTTCAGCATGTCAGCTGCACAGCAAATCCAACGCACAGTTGTCACTTATTCCAAAAAGACAGATCTTTAGTGAGTCAACATCTACTTGTCATTACCAAAAGGCCAAATGTTCAAGGATGTGAATTAAACGTATTACATAAAAAATAAGATTTTTGTACTTGCTGTAAAATATTTTTTTGAAGTCCATTGAGGGACACAGGAAGGAAGTATTATTTAGACATCTGAGTTTATACAGCCACCTTCAGGTGGTTTGGACACTGGCAAATGAAAAATGTTAAGCCAGCCCCCATCTAACCCCCTAAAAGCAATTTAACTTAGGGGATTAGCAACAGCCACAGAAAGAACCAACTTATGTGAAAATCTTACTACAAAAAATGTCTGAAGAAAAATCTGAAGGAATCAGGCAACAGCAAAAATGAAAATTGTCACAACCAATGAAATGACACTGAAGAAAAAAACCTGGTGTATCAGACCAGGACAGGTCGCCACCAAGGAGAAAACAAGCAACCAATCATTCACCATAAAGAAAACAGTGCAGTAAAGGCTTCTTTCTGGCACCTCGACCAAACAGCTCATTTTTGTTCAAGTATCACCTTATTGTACTCCTTAAAAACAACCACACCATCTTTTTCCAGAGCAGCCTGTTTTTCTTTTGAGGTTGCCTGTGAGTTTTTCTTTGAATCCCGGACAATTCTTCTGTCAGTTATGGCTGCAATCTTTCTTGGTCTACCTGACCTTGGCTTGGTATCAAGAGATCCCGGAACTTTCCACTTCTTAATAGGTGATTTAACAGTACTGATTGGCATATTCAAGGCTTTGGACATATTTATATGTCCTTTTCCATCTTTATAAAGTTCCATTACCTTGTTACGCAGGACTTTTGACAGTTCTTTTCTGATCCCCATGGCTCAGTATCTAACCTAGTCAGTGATTCCATGTAAGAGCTAACAAACTCATTGACTATTTATACACTGACACGAACTGCAATTTAAAAAGCCACAGATGTGGGACATTAACCTCTAATTGGCATTTTAACCCGTGTGTGTCACCTTGCGTGTCTGTACCAAGGCCAAACATTCCAGGAGATGTAAATTTTTGATCAGGGCCATTTGGGCGATTTCTGTTATCATTATGATTTAAAAAGGAGCCAAACAACCATTTGATAATAAATGGCTTCACAGGATCATAATCCTTCAACAAAAGAGCATTTTTTGGCATGATCAGTCATATTTTCAATATCAATGCCAAAATTTCACAATTTCTGCCAGGGTATGTAAACTTTTGAGCACACCTGTACCTAAACCCTTGAGTGCAGGGAAAGTAATGCTGGGCAGACAAATCATATGAAAACAAAATCAACCTGTTAAAACAGATTTACCAGTTAAAACTATAGTTGAACACACTTAACCACTGACTTCAAGGAAAGGAAGGTTGAATAAACAAAGTGTGTGCTAACAAAAATCCCAACAATTTAACAGTTCAAAGCTTAAGTGGAAGCAAAAACTGCAAGCAGTCAGGCCTCTTTATTGCCAAAGAGACACTGCATTGCAGAAGAAACCTACCTGCCTGCTTGTAGTCTTCTTTAAAATGTACGTTGAGATGCAGAAGCACAGCTCAGTCTACATTCTGCCACAGCGCCTGTGTGCCCAAGAATGACTGAATTCTTGCACATGTGCAGGAGTGATGTTATCCCGTGCCATCCAATGAAGATGGCTGAAGACTGGCACGGAGCAGAAGGTGACAGCACAGGACATGGACCATTAAAGGAAGGATAAGTTTTGCTTTATCTTCAGGGAAAGGAAAGTTGGTTAAACAAGGTACATCCAAACCAAAGAATTAGAAATAGAAAGCTAATAAAAAAACAACCCTTACCCTTGCTTTCAGGGAGAGGAGTGCAGTTTGAATTAGAGAACACTGTCAAGGACCGATCTTTTACCAAGGTAAGAATCGGTTGTCCTAGGTCACAGAGAACCAAAAACAGAACTTGGGGTAAAAAGAAAGCAGCAGCAAGTTGAAGTTTGAGCATCAAAGTTAAAAGATAATCCAACATAGGACTAGCAGACAATCCGCAAAATGCAAAGGTGAAGAGTTACCTTTATAAGAAAGGTTTAGCAGATAAGACAGTGAACTTATGGCATTAAGATCTGCAACGTGAGTGGGAGATGGACTGAGGATGTCTACAAGGTACTACTGTAGCAGTAGAGGAATAATGGGGGTTCCTATTTCAGGATTTCCTGTGCTGATGCAGGGATAACAGTGTCAAGGACAGAACCAATAACACACCTACCTTTAAAGGGTTAGCAAATCAAATGTTCTCTTAGCATATCCTTGGCATGACAGGCACAAAGTCAAGCACTCTTTGCATTTGGACAGACATTACATCCATGCTTGTAAGAGACTATCACAGCTTTAACACAGTGCCTCGGACATTTATTCAAAAAGCTCCAAAACATGAGGGGAATCCTCAAAATGAAGCTGGTTCATTATACAGAGCGAATTTACTTACCTATCTTAGTCACTG